ATTTCTATGGTGCATACACAACCAGTCCCAGTACGTACTGGGGCCGTTTGCTTAGGGCTGCTGGGCTTCAGGCAGCCTGGCCACAGCTTGCTTCAGCTGGGCTGTACATCCCAGGCAAACAATCAGTTTGCTTTTGCTTTCTGTTTCTCTGCCAGAACAAAACTTTTAGGTGGAAGAGGAACCCAGTCACACCTTCTGCTGTTAATAGGAAGAATTAAAGTGTCTTTAGTTGCTGAGAAGCATAAGACAAGCTCAATAAACTACATAAAGGGCTCTTATGAGGCTGGTCAGATTGCAGGATTTGTGCCCCAGTGGTCTGGTAATGGGCAAATATCTCTGATGAGCTCCACAGAAGCCACATCAACACAGAAACTGTCTCTGTTCAGAAAAGGGAGACCTGTTTCTCCAACCATATTAGAACAGGAATAGCACAACAAAACGGTTGTGTACACCTGAGCCTCCAGTGACAGAAAAGAGATGCTCCTGTCACTGGGTGACCCTGCAGCGGGAAGGTCACTTCATGTCAGAGCTGGTTCCTTTCTTGTGGACCACAAGCAATCGCTTCCCCACTCTGTATCTTTTCCTCCTTGCTGGTAAGAGGGCATAGATACCTGTCTCAGATGGTACTTTGAAATTTTTAAATGAAAGCTGCCACATAACAAAAACTTTTTTCACTTAATTACAAAAATCCTATATGAAGATCAGTTAGCAGTGAAGAGTTTATTATTAACAGCTGGAGCTGAGGAACAAATTGCGGATCAAGTGTGATGCTGCAATTGGCCAGTTGAAAAATCGTACAGAGAGTATGAAGCTGCTAGAGACGTCTATGAGATCAACGGGAAACTTGACATTGTGACCACCGAGAACTGCAGATTCAAATCAGTGATTCAAATTGAAGCTTGAAAGTGTTCCTTCTCAGTATGAAGTTCTCTGTTCATTTTTCATTTCACAGAGAACTAGCCGTGGAAGGTGATGAAACATAAACAGCACAGGGCAAACCTGACCTTTAAAATGAATGTGTGGGGCTGTGTTTAATTTGGAAGGAAACAAAGAGGAATATCCAAGGGCAAGGCGTCTCCCTGAGGCATAATCAATATCGTGTATCTGCTGCATTCAGTCAGGGATTGTAGGAAAAGGCCGTCCTGCCGCGTGAAGGGCGCTGAGATGAACGCGAGATGTAGAATAGGCCTGTGCAATTTGGAATACATGCTTTTGAAAATATTCCGTATCCCTTTCAGGGCCTAGGCTATCAGAGTAGTAGAATCTCCTTCCCCGTAAAACACATGCAGTAAAAGTGGTCCTATTGCCAGCTGTTACCAGGCTGCCATCCGGACCTGAACCCACATTTGTGCAGCCATGCAGACTACCGTTCCCAGGCGATCTGAACCCTGTGCACTGTCCGCTGCCCGCAAGCACAGAGCTCTGCTGCTGCGAGGGCAGCTGCCCGAGCCGGGGTGTGCTAGCACTGCAGATGGAGGTACCAGCTACTCTGCAGCTCTGTCTGATTGTATCCTTACGGAAACAAAGGCTTCCTTCAGGAAGAAAACTCTTGGGTTACACTACAAACACCCCTCTCCTTATGTTCAGTTCACTAACAGAAGCTGAGAAGCTCTGATTTTTCTGATTTTTTTTTTTTTATATTGCACCAGGGAATGCTGTTTAATGTGCCTGACCCGGGCCACCTAACACATTTCAGCCAAACCTAGGGCAGTACAAGCTGGGTACTGGGAGAGCTGATCCAACGTGAATGAATCCATCTTATTTTGGGGGAGTGAGTGAGGAAGTTTCCCTGTTTGCGCACGACCGGTGCTGCTCCAGCTGTTCTCAGCGTCTTCATCCATTTTATTTGGTAGCATAGACATAGCTGGCTTGTGTTGATTTCGGCAACTGCTAACATTTGTTCAACAAGAGGAAATGGATGCTGTTGTTGAAGGAAAGCGTGTCCAGAGGAATACATTAACCTTTGTATTTCCATAAGCTAAAACTTAGCTTATTGCTCCTGACCTCTCTAGAGATCGTTTGGAAACCATTTGGAAATTATTTAGAAAACTGTGGCAAGTACTTTGTTGTAATTATTTTTTGCAGTGCAATGCGCAGATAAAAGAAGAGCTTTTTGCAATGAATTCTGAAGCAGAAAACCCCAAGTCAGCAACAGTCAAATTCCTGAATGACCTAGCAGTGCTTCATGGTAACATGTTAATAATTATTTCAAAACAAAAAAGTGACATTTTTTTAGGAATGTCTTTCTGTCTTTTTTTGGCACAGCATTCTACCACATTTTAACTGTTGACTCTGTTGTAGATCTTCTTCTGAAGGGATGGTCAGAGGAGAGCTTTATTCAAAAGGTGAATTTCAATTTTCTATCATACTTTTTTGCATAAATATATTTCAGTTATCACATAAAAAATAAAATTTCGTATTGTAAACAAAGCACTACAATTTTTGAAGTCAAGCAGGGGCAAAGTATTAAACCTGTGTTTTCCAGCATCATCTAAGTCCTGGCCATAAAAATAATTTTTCCCAATATTGTTCCTGTTGCTGGTCTTATATCCAATCCTTAAACCTGTGCAGTCTCCCTGTATCTAATGACATTGTTGCTGTTCTACATTCAGCTCATCAGCCTCGTAATATTTTTCCAGCTGGGGACAGCCTTCATTTTGAACAGGAATTAAACCAAACTATCATGAAAGACAGTTTTTCGCCAGTTAAAAAAAGCAAACTTTGCTTTTTTTTAATGCAAGGATTGGGTAGTTAATGAAAACTTTCAGCAGAGCTACAGGTCTGGTGACCACTCAAGGTGCGGGAAAACAGGATAAACAAAACAAGTTTCCTGACATTTTGTGAGTTGTTTCTTTTTTTCCTTTTAAGAAGAAATAAATTCTACTCTGTGTCATTACAGGAATTTCTGGAGAATGAGCAGAAAATACTGAACGCAGTGACAGCTTGAACAACAGAAATTCAACAACGAGAGGAAAGGACTGGTGTTATTAATAGCAGGCTACAAAATAAGCTGGAAGGACTGACTTTTCTGTTTGGCAAAAAAATCTAGAATGGGTGATCACTGTAAGATACACTAAACTTTTTCTTTTCCACCTTTTTTTTTCTTTCTTTTTTTTTTTTAAATCCCAGAATATGTTAATTCTTAGCCGTGTGTGATAAAACACAAGTAGCACAGCCATGTTCTATCTGATCACGCTGCTGCAGATTGAGACCTGGTGGTATGTTTATTAGAAGAACTAGGCATGCTTTATAACACAGCCTGGATATTATTAGCTTTAATTTCCACTTTCTAAAGGCCTGTGATAATAACAGTGAGGGGACTGTAAAATAGTCTGAGCATCACTGATCTTTCCAGAACTATATGTTTGATTTTCCACAAAGGATAAATAAAACCAGCAGAGCCCAACTCCCGCAGCTTGTGGTTGCATGGATATCCCTGTAGGGCTATATGGTTAATTAATGTTTATGTTCTCTAGAATTTTACACGTGGGCAATTTGCACTGCTGTTTCCATTTAAATGAACAATATTCTGTACTCTTGTCTTGGGGAGGGGTGATATTGCGCAGGGGCCCTAGGCGCATACAAATCACTTGCTTCAGGGCCTCCTTTCAACTCAAACCTATCGATATCTGCTTTACTTGTTGGTTCACAGAGGTCTCATTTGTAATGAGTCACAGGTTTGGTCACTGTATGACCATTGGCTTGTTACAGAATGTGTTTTTTATACCTATCAAAGCTGAGAGGCTATGGCATACAGGCTGCTTTGAAATCATTGGGTCTGGGTAATGTGACAGGAAAGCAGGGAGAGGAATGATGAATATTTAGAGGCAGGGAATGTCCCTGGAAGGAAGTCAGGCAGAGAGGGGAAGGGTGGTGAACATACAGCAGAAGAGAATCCTGCTTCAGCTGAAGGCCAGCGCCAGTATTATTTTCTGTGTCAATCGTGCAGGGCAGGTTTCTTCACAAGGAGCCAGCACAAAAACATTGCTTAGTCGTTCAAAACAGCATGTGCTAATTTAGCTGCGTCTACCTAACTCCATTACATTTTTTTATGCTAGTGAGAGAAGGTGATAAAAAGAGTATATTAATCTGTATTTTACATTCCAGGTTTTGCTGAAGGCTACAGCACTAGAGCCCAGCAGGAAGGTCAGTGCTTGGCTGTGCCATGCATGGTCCGCAGGGCGCACTGCCTTCCTGTAAGCTCTGCTTGTGATAGAGTCCCTCATTCTGCAGGCTTTAAAATTAACACATGATTCTCTAGGCCTATCAAAAGATGTACTCTTTACTACAGCTAATGCTACCTGGGAGTTGTTACTTTTCTTTTTAAAAACAATATATAGGCCAACTTTTAAACCCAATACATATCCATACATTGAAATGCACATAAAGGTGTTCAGTCCTCAGTACTGCACCTTTGCAAATGGCTTTTCCTGCACGGCGCTGCACTGGCTGCTCACATGCCTACTGTGCGTGGAGTGATGTGACAGCTGTGCAAATGTAGACACAAAACCGTGTTTAGGACATTTTAAAGAAAAATACGCCTATGACCCTGTCAGTTATGGAAATGCTATTTTAACATGTGAGTTTTTTAAAACCATGCTTTTAGAACTGTCCTCTGAATTCGTGTGGCTACAAATTACATTTTGCACGTAGCAGTATAGACAGAATGTCTTTGATTTCCTTAAGGAGACCCAGTACTTCCTTAATCCCTAAACAAAACCTGACTTCTGCGTGCAAGGCCTAGTTTGTTTGCACACTGTTTGTAGAAGCAGTGAAACCTGTCAGCTGGCATTTCACAGAAAAAAGCTATAAGCAGGAAAGGCGTATCAGATGTAATG